GTGAACCTTCCAGTGATGGTTCCATGATTCTGGTTCTTTGGCCCTTCCCCATTGTTCCTGAGCTGTGGGCCGAGATAAGATGATGGATCTGTTCAAATCATAACCAGATGTGGCTTAACTGAAAATGGGAATTTATTGGCTCAGGCCTTGTATTCAGCACCTACTGCTGTGATGCTGTGTGACAAACCAGCAGCTGTTTACTCTGGCCCGCCAGTCAGTGGGTCAGCTGGGTGGTTCTGGGCTTGTCGGGGCTCGCTCACACGTGTGGGTCTGCTGGGACGAGAGCTGTCCCGCAGGTGTCACATTTCCCTTCAGTGGCTGAACGGGGCATGTCCCCAAGACGCAGGCAGAGGTGCAAGCACCTAGCACAGGTGGGTTCCCAGCTTTGGCTGCTGTCATATGTGCTGACATCATGTTGGCCAAAGCCAGTCTCATGGCCAAAGCCAGGTCACAGTGGGAGGGCTTTGTGAAGTTATTTGCAAAGGGGTGACTATGGGAAGAGTGGAGAATTGGGAAAGCAGCCAGCCTTCCCGAGGGCTCCAGGACACGTTCCGACCCTGCGGTCCTGGCCATTCAGTTATTCAAGTTTTTGGAGCCGAGGAGATGAAGCTGGATCTCGGGGTGCTGGAACGGCGCCTGTTGCTCAAGGAATTACATCTTCCTTGGATGAGGGCAGCTTGACGTCCTCAGGGCAGATGTTGTTGGGGCCAAGGTGGGTCCCTCCTCAGCAGTCAGAGGACGATGACACAGGGGATGCAGGGCCACAAGCTGGCGAGGAGACTGCTGCCACCCTTTGCTGGGTCCCTGCTGTGTGCCGGGGGTGATGCAGAAGGACCTTCCCCACCTGCCTCTTAGGCCTCATGGCCGCTCAGCCAGGTAGGTATTCTTGGTTGGGGCTGGAGGAGGCTTAATTCACACCCCTCTTTCCTGCCCGAGCTCAGAACATTCAGGGTAAGGCTGACTCAGGCCTCTCTCAGGCAGAGCTGCCAAGAGACCTGCCTTAGATCTGTGGCCAAGGGCATTTGCTCACTAGTCATTCAGACTTCAGCGGACTCACCACCTGGGAAGGTGTGGGCTAGAATTCACGTGCCTTGCGGACAGCTGGCTCTTGAGGAGGATGGCTCAGCTCCTGCTCCCAGACCATCGATTTACAATATTCCCGTTTCTTCCCCGGGGGCAGGTGGGTCTACAAATGTGGACCTGGAGGCCCAAAGAAGTACAAGGACTTGCTCAAAGTCCCAGCCAGTGAGGGCTGAGCTGGGATTCAGCCCGTGNTGAGAACCGCTGAATTGATAGAATAGACAGAAAATGAGAAGTCTAGAAAACTCAAACAATGCAATCAACCAAACTAACCTAATGGATGTGTAAAGAACACAATACCTAAGAACAGCAAAACACACATTCTTTTATGCTAAAAAGTGGCAAAGAGGGATTGCAGCCAGGGATGTCTGATTTAAGAGTCCTTTTCCCCTCAATCCAGCACAGTTTCTCAAAGATGCTGCTTTAGGGGCAGGAAAATCCAGCCCATGAGGAAAGAAAAAAATGCGCAGTGGGGCCCACTGGGGGCAGTAGAATGACACTGCAGGTGGCTCTGGCTTCAGGTCTGAGTCCCCTGGCTGGGGTAGGGGGTGTGCGTGTGCCTGGGAGGGGCTTTTCTATTTGTACATATGTTTCAAAGTTTTCTTATGTGACTCTATCAAATTAGCACAATAAGAGAACAAGTGTTAACAGCCCGTCTGAGGCAACATCTAGGTTTTTGTCAAGCGTGTTTTTTTATTGATCAGCAACCAGGCCAGGTCCACTGCTTCTGCCCTCATAGCCCAATCTTCTCACGCCTCTGAGCCTTCTTCTGTGTGTTCCCCTCTGTCTCGAATGCCCTTCCCCCCTTTTGTCCTCGGAGGCTTCTACTTATCCCTCAAAACCCAGCTCAGCAGTTGCCCCATGTGAAGCCACTGCCACCCCCAGGTCTCCCCTGTATCATGCGCATCTCTCTGGGGGACCCTCAGACGCTGCTGTATCATTTTTATTATTTCTGCCTGTCTCTTGGCCACCAGGCCGCCTGCTTTCTGAGGGCCGTGGCTGCAGCTCTCTCTCCCCACACGGCTCCTCAGTCCTGTGTCTTCACAGGCGTGTGGACAGGACCAAAGCCCCGTGACTGCCAATGCTCACCCATCACGCCCAGGTGAAAACGGTTGCTTTCTTTCCTCTCCCCTCAGCCTCAAAGACAAAAATCAAGGTGAACTTATCCCCCCTGTGCTGAGGTTCACAGTGACATACCTGAGAGAAAAAGGTGAGTGAGAGCTGGCTCCCGCCAGGGGATGTGAGGGCTGCC